ACTGAACTTGAGCAGGATTTATTTGTAAAAGACAACTATGCATCCTATATAATAAAAGGATAATATGCAAATTGACCCTAATGCATTACGACTGGGAATGACCAGTTGCTATGAGACTCACTGACCACCAGGGAGCAGGCACTCAATGCAGGAGCTGCCCCCTGGTGGTCAGTGTGCTTCCACAGGGGGAGCACTGCGGAGCCAGAAGCCGGCTCATGGCTGACCAGTGCAGGGGAGTGAGCCTAAGCTGTTAGTCAGACATCCCCTGAGAGGTCCCAAACTGCGAGAGGGCACAGGCCAGACTGAGGGACACCCCCTCCCCCGAGTGCATGAATTTTCGTGCACCAGGCCTCTAGTTTTATGATAAAATGCTTGAATCCTGAAGATAAAAAATAAAACATTATAAGCTTCCACACAGAAATAATTAGTTACAAAGGAAAAGAGAACAGACTGACATCAGATTTCTTGTCTGTGATCCTAGAAGCCAGATGGCATTTAAATAACATCCACAGGCTAGTGAGAGAGAAACTGTGAAGAAATAAACAAGAATTCACAGAAGCTATCAGCACACAACTCTTCTGAAGAGACTACTTAAAAAAATAATATTTAGTCAAATGAGTATTTCAGAACAGAAATCTTAACATAAGCAAAGGTAGAGAAGAAGAGTCATGAGAAATGAACTTTGCAATAAATGGGAAAGTGATTTCAAGTAGTTAAGTGCTTTGAAATATAACGGCATTCTCTAAAATGAGAGTTTAGAACATCAATTTTCAATTGGTGCGCCACAAGGATTTTTAAAATATGCATATCTGACTATTTAGTCAGGGGCACTGATATCTTTTCTCTTAGATTATCAAATTTAAAAATGACTATAGCCAACACAGCAATAGCTGTTTGGTGTGAATAAATCAAAATTATACCAATTTTTTGGAGGGGTCAGATCAGCAAAAAAATAACTTTTTGGTGCACTGCAGAATTTTAGTAACTACCTTTTGTGTGCCACGAGATGGAAAAGTTTGAAAATCATTGGTTTAGAAATAAAGCAGAAAATAATTTCACCAAAGCTTTTGTGCTGAGAATGAGGAGAAAGGGAGAGAAGTAAAAGAATTCTAATCATAGCTTAGGGAGCATAGGAATTAGGGTATTCATCCACCCATCTAATGTTAGGAGAATAGCTGGGGATTACATGTGGCTTGGTCAGGGCAACTATCTCAATTTGGACTGCAGGCAGCTACACAAAACAAGAAATCTAACTAAACAGGGCTGTATTTCTCATGCAACCAAAGTCAGGAGCAGACAGTACAGCAAGTCCACAGTGCCAACGAGGGGCTAAAATAAATGTCCGAATTTTCTCCTCAGTCCTCTTTCTTGTGGCTTTCTCAACATGATCACACGATGGCTGATCCACTTCTGGACTTACCTGCATTTTAAGCAGGTAGAAGAAGGCAAAAGTCAAAAAGTACACGCTGAGTATATATATGATTGTTCTTTCTAAAATCCCACCCAATAAATTTCTTATTGTCTATTATTAGCCAGAGAATGGTCCCCTGACAACTCCTAGTCAAAAGAGAGCATGGCATTTTTAGCTTGCAATACCCATGTCCCCCCAAGAAATCTGCACTCTGATTAGTACAGAAGGGGAGAAGGCTATTGGCTAGATCACTAGCAGTGTCAGCAATGGAAACAGTTCATATTTTCCTTTTGTATCACAACTGAGAATTTTGTTTGAAATTGGAAATTAACCCTTAGTACAATGGAAATATAAAGTTGAACTTTCAAATTAACATGAGGAAAAAAGAGAATAAAGTATAGTTTGATCATACCAAGAAAAACAAAGACAAGAAGGAAACAATGAAATAAAACAGTAAACATTAATATGACAGACAGTATAGAGTTCTTATTTCAAACAGGAAAGGGCCAAATTGTTCCAACTTTGTTTAAAAAACAAAACTACCAGAAAAATGCAAATAGAAAGGATCAGAGTGAAATATGCATATTGAACAAGGTACAACTTAAAAAGACAATCACTACTCAGCCCAAAGGGCCAAATATAATGAGAAAATTTCAAATTTTTAAAGATGATAGGCGCATTCTTATATGCATCGAACAACACAGTAACTAAAACACATAGTGATATAAACTGTTATAACTGTAAAGCTGAAAAAAGTATAGAGGGAGATTTTAACATGTCACGCAGAATTAGGCCGATCTAGTAGAAAAGCTTATTTCCTGGTAGAGTTTTGGGAATGATTATAATTGCAGGCAAGCAAGTATAACACAGGGAAACAACTGCTATGATAGAAGTGAATGCAGTGTATCCCTAACCCAACTTCCTTTCTAGTAGATACTACAGGCACAAAGTTGGTTAAACAAGGATGGTTTTTGCCTTCAAGGAGTTCATGATTAGGAATTTCATTCTGTGATACAGTTTAAAGTCATCTTTTTGTTTCTAAATCTTTTCCTGATTTAAAGTGAAAACTTAACAAGTATATCATCAAAATAACCTGCAATAGCACATGTGGCTTTATTAAATAGAAAATATTTTACCAAAAATTTGATTTATTTTTTAGATCATTGGTATAATCCATTAAGTAGTTTTAATGAAGTAAAAGTCTGAGAAAATACTCATCTAATTAATCTCTTTTTTTTTCTCATTTATAGTATACTAGAGGCCTGGTGCACAAAATTCATGCATGGGGTGTGGCCCCTCAGCCTAGCCTGCACCCTCTCCAATCCAGGACCCCTCAGGGAATGTCCAACTGCTGGCAGTCGGACATCCCTCTCACAATCCAGGACCACTGGTTCCTAACCGCTCACCTGCCTGCCTGCCTGACTGCCCCTCACCACTCTGCCTGCCTGTCTGATCACCCCTAACTGCCTCTGCCTGCTGGCCTGATTGCCCCTAATTGCTCCCCTGCCCGCCTGATTGCCCCTAACTGCACCCCTGCCAGCCTGATTGCCCCTAACCACCTCTGCCTGCCTGCCTGAGCTCGCCACTAACTGCTTGCTCCCCTACTGGCCTGATCACCCCTAACCACCTCTGCCTTGCCAATGCATAAATAAGTGGAACAGAAATGACGTCAGACATCCAGAAGTCGTTTGGTCGATCCGGTCTAATTAGCATATTGCCCTTTTATTAGTGGCTGAGCAGAGCTCCCCCTGTGGGAGCCCACTGACCACCAGTGGGCTCTTGCATTGAGCATCTGCCCCCTGGTGGTCAGTGTGTGTCATAGTGACCAGTCATTCCCAGTCTTTCTGCTGTTAGGGTCAATTTGCATATTACCCTTTTATTATATAGGATGAGTGTAGGCCCTGGCTGGTAGCTCAGTTGGTTAGAGCATTGTCCTTATATGACACTGTTGAAAGTTCAATACCTGGTCAGGGCACATACATGAATCAACCAATGAATGCATAAATAAGTGGAACAGAAAATTGATGTTTCTTTCTCTCTTCTCTCTTCTCTCTCTCTTCCTCTCTCTCTCTCTCTCTCTCCCCTTTATCTCTTTCTAAAAAAACATCAATAAAAATTTCCTATAGTATATGAGTATATAGGGACAGGTGTTCACAGGTCTAAAACAATCACTGTTCCAAGACGAGAATGTTGATAAGTTCCATTTGCTGCTGTAATGATCTGTTCGACTGACAGGTCCTGAGGGCCTCCCGAGATTGTGAGTTCATCACTTAAGTCACCCACAGTTCCTTTATCCTCTCAATACAGTTGACAACTTCCCTAATATGCACTTCTAATGCTCCTTTTTCCTCCAAATTTAACTACTTTCAGTCTTTTTAACTTACTCTGATGTATAGTTCTGAAGTGTACTGAATCATAACTTGAATATGTAATTATTACTGGAGTATATTCAGACCTTGAATTTTACAGAAAACAGTGAATTACATAATCCCCCCTTTTAAAAAATCCAGTGCCTTGATAAAATGCCAACAAAGAAAAATGCTTATGAGAAATATACACAAAACTACTTACAAAAACCTGTAAATGCAGCAATTAGACACAAACTTTTAAAAATCTAATGTTCTGTTACGTAAGACTCTGAATTTTAGATCTTGCATTATTTCCTTCTGATTGCCCCCTTCTTACAGCTTAGTGAATGCTGAGCATTAAAATTCACTTAGCCGTCTTTCAAACCATTGCTAGAAGTATTCATTCTTTGAGCCTGACCCAGGCAAGCTTATAAGTGAGCTCCACTGCATTGATTTTCAGTGAAGTCTGTCCCACATGTAGGGAGAATTCAGCAGATCTGTGGGGCCATTTTGGGTCATCATAGTGACAGGTGGGGGGATGTTAAGGGGTTTGCAACGCCAGGAACAGACACACACATTGAAGGGCTGCTTCACATGAGCACAACTTCCAATAGTCTGTCAGATGATTATGTAACTGAAAGACCAATTTGGAATTCGCTGAACACAAAGTATTTGACATATAAACACATTTAAAACCTTTAAAATGTAATCACAAAGTGTATTCTCATGGTTTTTTTTTCCCCTAAAGTTACATTCATTTTTATTTTTTATTTTTTTACATTCACTTCTATTTCTTTTATTTATTTTTTCAATGTAAAAAGATTTAAATGAAATTGAGAAGGAAAAATAGTGTTTCATACACAAACATTTAGATTTCCTGATAACATTTTTACTAAAACTTAGCTATGGTTTAAACTTCTGAAGGCTGTTTCCAATAACAAAATGAGGAATGGTCCTATTAATACCACTGTGGGAAGATCGCATGGTTTAACGGAGAGGACGGATATTTCACAAAGGGAAGTGTTATTTGGACTAATGGGTAGGTGGAAACATCTCTTCTAGTTCTTTCTTTAGCAGACTGTGGTAACAAATGGTACTCAAATGCAGAGGCATCTGTTAGAGCAAGTTTTCTTTGCAGAATGTCGATAATTTTGTGTACTTCTAATTCCTCTCTGTCTTGAACTTCTGAGCCTCACAAAATTAAAATTACTCATTAGGAGAAAAATCAATTAAAATCAAACCTTAGGTCGTGTTCCACAAGTTTACGGTGGACCAGCCTGGGAGAGCCAGTGGCTGGGGCGCCTCCAGGGACCTCCACTTCAGCGACAGCCTCGGCCTTGCAAAACCTACTCTGAGGTAGACAAGTACAGATTCTGTAAGGTAAGGCATAATCACTACTAACAATCAAGAGGATTTTCCCAAAACTTTTAATAATGAACAAAGATCACTTGCGAAAAAGGATGAAAAACAAACAGAAATTTTCAGTAACTAGCCCTTTATGTCTTAAAGAAACCTCATACTAAAAAAAAAAATTTAATCACTTCATGTTTTAAATTGTTATTATGTATACATTATTTAAAATGAAAATATCCCTCCCGACCTTAGAAAATTAGAATTGCAACTCAAAAAAAAAATTTTTTTTTGTCTATTGGATATTTTTTTGCCATCTACATTAATAAACTTACAAAATTTGCACACCTTTGTCTTGCCTTATAAACATAATGAATGTATCAGTCAGGGTCCAGTTGTGAAAACAGAAATCACACAGTTATTTTATCAGAGTAAATTTAATGTAAGGAATTGGTTGAAGAGTTATTGAATGATTGAAAGGTAAAAGGAAACGATATAAGAATTTTAGAAAGCGCTCCTCTCTCTACGGCTGGAGGAGCCCAGGTTGAGGTTATTGAAACTGACCAGCTGGTGCTGGTATTCTAGGAGCTCAGAAGAGGGATCTTCATAGCTGGGACTCAGATATTTGAGGAAAGGCCACAGAGTGGGCAGCTGCAAGCTGGTGTCGCTTTGTGAGGAGGCAAATAAGATGGTTCTGCAAGTGCTGGAAATAAACTGCCACTACCAGGATGGAAAACCATTGCTGTGGTGACACTGATATGAGCAGGAGGTAGAACTAGAAGGAGCAAGTCTCCTTTCCTGCCTCTTCTTTTGCCATCTGCCTCTTGTGCCCATTTTTAGCAGGGAGCCAGATGGCAATGAGGCAATGCAGTTTCCAAAATTCCAGCCCCAGGATCATAGAGAAGAGTAGAGAAGGGTTTGAAGCCAAGAGATAAAAGCTAATAAACAGGGAGAATCAGGAATTATACTTTTACATTTTAATGGACATGCATATTGAAAAATTTAAGAATGAATTAAGGTTTTAACTCTTCATTATTCTTCCACTATACCAAATGAAATCCCCTGAAAATTAAAATTGCAATTAAATGTTTTCATTAATATGACATTAATGAACTCATAAATGTGATGCCTTTTCCTTGCTGTGTAACAAATAATGAATTACTTATGCCATAATTTTATTCAAGTTGCCAGTGATATCCTAAACTATCTTAAATCTTGGTTTATAACAGTGTTAGAATTCTTTGATTAAATTAATCTTGCAATTTGTCTCTACATGTCAATCTGCAAGCTTTTTCTTCAAATATGATTTTCTTCAAATATTAGTATTATATATGAAAATAATATAAAAATTATAACATGCAATAACATAATTTTGGACCAATTAGGAAATGGTCTTTAAAAATAGAAATATGTAAGTTTTTATTTCCAACTTTGATTCTAAAATATATACTTTTTTTTTTCAGTCAAGCCTTACACTTTGGAATAAATAAAAATAACAATATTTATGGAATAGCTACTTTGTACCAAATGCTGCCATGATGAATACATAGATAATTTTCATTACAAATGTTTGAGGGAGATACTATATTACTATTTTATAATTAAAGGAACTGAGAATCTAAGAGCATAAATAATTTCATTAAGATTACATGATTAGCCGAAACCGGTTTGGCTCAGTGGATAGAGCGTCGGCCTGCGGACTGGAAGGTCCCAGGTTTGATTCCGGTCAAGGGCATGTACCTGGGTTGCGGGCACATCCCCAGTGGGAGATGTGCAGGAGGCAGTCGA